AGTTGGACTAGAAATATTTCATACAGAAATAGTTCCTGTATGTATTGGAACAACTCTGAAATAAGCACCCACTACAGACTTCCTTTTGAAACTGACATGTGGCATGTGCATCTGTAGGCTTTCATCGTATTATGGTTATTTCTAGGTAAGTGTCACAGGACACATGTTGGTTACTGAAATGCTCTAGTCTAAAGTCTTGATATTGAATTGAATGAATGAATAAAAACATGAACATTACGGCCTTACCACTTCCTTTGCCAAAGACCCCTAGGTACTGCTGCCTTAATGTGTAACGACCCTTACTGTTACTGCTGGAGCTGCGGCCTTAGCAGACGAGTCCGCCTCTGCAGTCTCCTATCTGTGTGTGTGCTGCAGCCTCTCTGGCTCCTGAAGAGTTATTTCCACCTTGTGTTTTAGTTTTAGCCAGACTGTCTGCCCGTCTGTCTATTTATCTCCCTACCTATCTATTCTAAAATTTTATTTATTTCTTTTTACTGAAGAACATTCGATTTGTAATATTAGTTTCAGGTGTACAGCAAAGTTACTCAGTTATATACATATACGTATAAATATACATATACATATTCATATACATATACATATATATTGTTTTTAGATTCTTTTCCATTATAGGTTATTATAAGATACTGAATATAATTCCCTGTGCTATACAGTAGGTCCTTGTTGGTTATCTGTTTCATATATAATAGTGTATATCTGTTAATCCTGAACTCCTAACATATCTCTTCCCTTCCACCTTTCCCCTTGGGTAACCATAGTTTCTTTTCTATTTCATGAGTCTATTTCTGGTTTGTAAATAAGTTCATTTGTATCATTTTTTTGTTTGTTTACATTCCACATATAAGTGATAGAATTTGATATTTGCCTTTCTCTGTCTGACATACTTCACTGAATATGATAATCTGTAGGGTCCACCCTATTTTTAATTCTCCAGGAATGATGCCTTCAATTTGAAATCTGTTATAACTTGTTTATAATTAGAAAATAAAGTTAGAATTAAATACAGGTTTGAAGTCCATTTGGAGGTATTAAATTACTCTCTTACTTATTTTGCAGGCAATTATACTCTCAGAGTTGACTGTACACCCCTTCTTTTCCAGTTGGTATATAAACTGACAAAAGAGGTATGTAAATAGATCTGTCGTATTGTTTTCTGATGAGTAGATAATTCAATAACTTTTGTTTTCTAAATTACTAATATTTAAACTGGTGACAGACATAGCTGACTTGTATAAACAACAAATCAGAACGAGCTTTAATACACTACTTATGTGACATAACTATGAGAACAGTAGTGTTAGTCTCTGTTCTAATAATAGTCCCTAATAATTGTATACATTTGTCAAAATGTGCAGGGTCTATTGTTTCATGGGGCAGTGTCTCTTTGATATAACAGAAAGAATACTGAGCTGGGTTGGGGAAGCCATGGCTGTGAAGATTGCCTTGGCTATTCATTCATTCATTCATTCATTCATTCAGCAAGTATTTATTGTGTGGTTTCTATGTATCAGGTCCTATGAAAAGAATTCTAGCAGCAACAGTGATAAAAGGACAAGGTTACTGAATCCAAATACTTTGTAATCTAGAGAGGCCACAGACCTGTAAATGAGAACTCATACTTCACTTGAATATTGGATACTATATACCGTGGAGGACAGTTGTGGAAGAGAGAAGTTAAAATCCTGGGGTAGCTGGTGAGTTTGGAAAGCATTAGAAGGTGTTTAGAGAAGGAATAGTGGTTAGGCTGTAAAATGGAAGGATGTGAAAGTGGGGAGAATGTTTCTCCTCAGAGGACACAGGACCTAATAAAGATGTGGATGTGTGAAAGAACATTTCCTGGCCTCTGGGTAATGCAATATAACCTCAATGTAAGGTGTTGGTAAAGAAGCTGGTAAGAAATGGGGCCTGACACATAGGCCCAAATGTTCATGAATCTGGTGATGGTGAAATTAAAGAATCTTTAACAAGGTTGCACATTATCATTTTTATTCATGATAAAATTACTCTGTATCAGTGCAGTGAATAGGTTAAGCTGTAGTAAGTCTAAAAGCAAAATGGAAATAATTCCACATACTTATTTAGCACACAGGAATTTATAAATACTAGTTATTGATGTAAAAAGTATTCTGAAAATGCTAATGCACTCTGAATCTCTAAAAATTATGTGATCTACTCATTGAGTATATGTGTGCTTCATTTAAATAACCCCCATTATAGAATTTAGCTGTAGAAATGTTTCTTTCAAGTAGGTATCACTTAGATGACAGTGGGAAGTAGATGACACATCTCTGTGGTCCTGTTTCCCAATCGCCTTTCATCTTGCCCTGTCCTTTTCACTGTTAGTGTCTTTAACATCTCATCCTCCCAAGTGAGCATCCTCCCATGCGCATCACAACTCCCACCATACTGGGAAGCTTAGGTCCTTGATCCTTTTATTGAAATGTCCCATAAAAACATCTAAAAGCACGCTGTAAAGACAGCCCTTGTTGGGGAATCCTTCTCAGGCGATACATTTACACTCTGTCGTACAGAGGAGGCTCCTGCCTTTACAGGAGGGGTAGTAAGAATTTTAGGGCTAAGAAAGAAAAGCTTAGGTCTATCCCCTGTGTACATTTATTTAATAAGTATTAAATGTGTAAGTGGTTACCATAGTGACAGGATAAATCAAACATAGATTCTGCTATTAGTGTGTTACCTGTGTAGCCAGGAGAGATTACGATCAAGAATTTTCAAATCCAAGATAGAGATTAAAATTACCAAAGTGAATACAGATAAAAGTGTGGGAAGCAAAAAATAAATATCTTAGTTTATCATTTTACATGTTGGAATTAAACAGCCTGCTTAATGGGAAACTGCAAATTTTTTTCCCATTTTAAAGCCTCTTATATATATTAATTTGAATTTAATTTTCATGCCACTTTATATATTTGTCTTTCAGAGTTTTTGTTTTAGGTAGTTTTTTAACAGTTTAACTAGGAAATTAAAATGTATATTTACAAGTTACATTATCAGGATGAACTAAATAATTGTCCAGAATAGAAGAGTGAGATTTTATAATCTTGTTTGATTTGATTGTCAGTGGAAGAATCAGACATCATTCATCTGGAGAAATGCTATTGGTTGCTGAGGGCTCAATCCCGAACTGGAAGATTTGATTTAGAGACATTTGGCCCATTGGCTTCACCACCAATTCGTCCATCTCTGAGTGAAGGTGGGAATCCTTCTATTTTCTTCAAATGTTCTTTGCTAAACACGTGAGCCTTGTTCCACCTTTGAAGCCTTGTGTAAGTTGGTTTACCTTCCTGCACCTGAATATCCTCATATATAAAATCAGTTTGACCAAGACAATCATTATGAAACTGTGCTCCAGTGCGGTGCCTCAGCATCTGGTGCAGGGTCAGGGTGGTGGACACTGAATAGGCAAAGCTCTAGCTTCCACACATGACCCCACCTCTTCCTCAGCTGAGGAGTGTCTATTGTATTTCTTTTAAATAGAAGAAGGTTCCACTGCTGTATCCTTCCCCCACCCTTAAAAAATTAAGAAACCACTGGACTATTCCATCTCTAAAGTCCCCACTTAGCTCTAAACTTTTCACTACTATATATATATATATATATTATATATATATATTGAATGGGGTTTACAAGGAGCAGTTGTGGGTGATAATCACAAAAACTGTATTTGAAATCTGAAAGCTTGCATTCTTCTTCTGATTCAGACCCTTTTAAAAAAGTTTCTTACTTTTAGCAAGTCATTTAACTACTTCTTAGCTTCAGTTTTCTGCTCTTTGAGGGCACAGAATTAGATTCTTGAAATAGACAGTCTGTATTCTTCAGGTTTCTAGTGTGTTTTAGAAATATTTGTTAGGGGAGCTAGAACAGACAGGGCTTCCACTTCAGCAGTGCACTTATGTTTTTACCTTTTTATAATTAGAGATTGAGAAATCATTTCATTTGAAAACAAAATGATTCCATTTATTTTTTATGAAAATTTAAAAAACCACAGGATTAGATTATAAATTGCCCTTTATTTCTGAAATTTAATATATTTATTTATACAGATTAAGTGGTACAATGAAGACTGCAGTACAGAATTTCTGTCTCTTATAATATAGTGTGTTAGTTTTCTTTGTTTCATGAAGGAGCTGTATGAAGCTCATTAATAACAACACAGTATATCTTTGATAGAGTTCAACTTT